CCATCGATTTTTGTTTCTTTAACGCAAGCATCTGCATGCCGCACTCACATAACGAGCAACCAGCTTGGGGAATAGGAGGGTTTGTCAACTGCTTCGCCAGGCTCAGAATGAGTGAGTTAGGAGTGTTAGAGCTGTGCGAATGTTTGTGTACGGCAGCTGGGTAGTGCTGCACAGGCTGAGTGAGCTCTATGCAGGCAGTCGGGCAGGGTCTGCTGGAGAGACTGAGTGAGCCCTATGCAGTCAGTCGGGCAGGGCCTGCTGCGGAGGCTGAGTGATCCCTATGCAGGTAGCTGGGCAGGGCCTGCTGGGGAGGCTGAGTGAGCTCTATGCAGGCAGCTGGGCAGGGCCTGCTGCGGAGGTTGAGTGATCCCTATGCAGGTAGCTGGGGGGGGGGGGAGGGGGCTGAGTAAGCTCTATGCAAGCATCCGGGCAGGGCCTGCTGCGGAGGCTAATTGAGCTCTATGCAGGCGGCTGGGCAGGGCCTGCTGGGGAGGCTGAGTGATCCCTATGCAGGTAGCTGGGCAGGGCCTGCTGAGGAGGCTGAGTGAGCTCTATGCAGGCAGCCGGACAGGGCCTGCTGTGGCGGCTGAGTGAGCTCAATCAGCGACACGGAAAAGAAGAGAGAAGGCACTATGAGGAGCCAGGGGAGGCAGGTTGAGCAAGCCTCCTTGGTTCCGGCGGTCATGTCAGCCAGTGGCGGAATGGGTCCAGCGTCAGCAGCACTGTATAAACGCATTGCCCATCTGTTGGCTGAGAAGAGGGGTGAGCACTATTCTCATGTTATGGCATTTGTTAGATGCAGGATTTCCTTCAGCCTTATGAAATCCTGTATCATGTGCATTCGCGGTTGTAGGCGTATACATTTTAGTTTGAAATTTGCACCCTCCTGCGGAGCCCACGCTGCTTTGGCAGTGGCGGAGGCTCGCTTGCCCACGGCACCGTCGGAGACCATCATGAACAATGGACTGACTAATTATTCACTTATCCTGTCTTTCTAAATAACATGTTATTGTTTTAGTTTTTGGCATTTTTCGTGCTTTGGAGTTATTTGTTGTTTTTGGAGAGTGAGCTCTATGCAGGCAGCTGAGCAGGGCCTGCTGGAAAGGCTGAGTGAGCTCTATGCAGGCAGCTGGGCAGGATCTGCTGGGGAGGCTGAGTGATCTCTATGCAGATAGCAGGGCCTGCTGCGGAGGCTGAGAGAGTTCTATGCAGGCAGCTGAGCAGGGCCTGCTGGGGAGGCTGAGTGATCCCTATGCAGGTAGCCGGGCAGGGCCTGCTGGGGCAGCTGAGTGAGCTCTATGAGCAAGGGCATTGAGGCGCATGATTGTACTACTGAGTGCAGTTCGTTTTTTCGAGGTCGTAGATTTTTTGTCTCTTTTTCAGCCCAGCCGGCATCAGGCCGGACTGAAGGAAGGTATAGTATTTTTAGGTAGATAGTATAGTGTAGTTTTAGTCTAGATAGGACACCGGTGGCAGGCCGTCGTCATGGGTGAGCTTTCAAGTGAAGACCAGACGAAACTGCTTTGGTCCCTCACAGGGATCGAGCACTCGCTGTTAGGAGTTGTGCAGACACTATCTTCCCTAGCCAGAGAATCCGCAAACAGTGCGGCGAGAATGAGCCGCAGAATTTCAGAACTATCTGCAGAAGTCAAAGGACTAAAGGAGAAATTGGTCACCCTCAAGGCATCCGCCATTGCGAAATCGATGAGCAGCAGCAGGCCAAGGTCAAGGGCAGTTGGAGCTGGACACGCAACGAGAGGCAAACCGTCAACGGCTGTCACGAGGGACAAAGTACAGCATAGTACGGTGCACCGTAGCACAGAACACTCTGCGGAAACTCCGTTGGCAACGCCTTTAGCAACGGACAGCGCTGGGGACACGCACTGTACTGGTAGTTGTGAGTCCCACGCTGCAGCTAAGCATGCGGATATGTGTGCAATAGGTGAAGACGCCAACCGTTTGCAAAAACACTGGTTGGCTAGGCAACAAACAACAACAACAACGGTCTGTACCACCACTTTCCCCTGACAGTGACATCTGGACAACAGTGTCAAACCACAAACCTCGTGGACCGAAAAGGCTATCTTCTTTGTGGGTAACCTAAAACGTAGTACCACAGCCGACAAGCTGACGACATATATCCAGCAGAGAGTAGCCACCACCACCGACAGAACGCTGGATGGGCTGTCTGTAAGCATTCTCCAGTCGAGTGCTGGTGAGCCAGCCCGGAAGTCTTCCGCTGCACACATTACCATGTACGCACGAGATGGTTGGCTACTACGATCGAGAAACCTCTGGCCAGGCCGGCTGTACTGCAGGAAGTGGCGATTCCGTGACACTGACGACTCCTCGCCAGCAGGAACTGATGACTCATCGCATGACACTGACGACTCCTCGCCAGCAGGAACTGATGACTCATCGCCATCAGGAACTGACGAGTCCTCGCCAGCAGGAACTGGTGACTCATCGCATGACACTGACGACTCATCGCTATCAGTAACTGACGACTCATCGCCATCAGGAACTGGCGAAAGAAACCAGGCAGTATCTGACACCAACGAGCTATTTCAGCCAGAATCCGAAGTAGGAAACACGCTAGCGGCAGCAAAGGATAGCACAGCCAACCAGCTAGACTCTCTGCCAGGCCTCACACCCCTTGGAAAGGCACGGAGCCATGAGTCTACAGTCTCTCGGGAGCACCCTGATTCCAAGAAAATGGACTCATGAACCCGCATGCTCAACCATTCTTCCCGCGACAGAAGCCACCCATCCAGGGACCATTGTCCAAATCACTACTAACAAATACATTTGGCCTGCTGAGTAAATTTGGAGAGTTCAGCACACAGTTAGGTCAACCTGCCCGGACATTGCAATCTTCACTGAGACGAAGTTTACCTCTGAGAAGTGTACAGCAATGGATGTCACGCTACCTGGCTATTCACCGCCAATCCGCCGAGATCGTACAGCGCAAGGCGGTGGAGTCGCCGTCTGGGTACGTTCGGGCCTCGCCTATAGCCACATGGAGCAGATAACCTGCGGTGACCTGGAAGTCATATGGCTTACAGTGCAACGCTCTTTAACGTGTACACAAGAGATGTTCCTCAAGTAGCCCAATCCGCAGCCACGATCCAGTTCGCCGATAACGTCGCAGTATATTGTAGCGCTGACACGACTCAGGCTGTTGCCAGTACGCTCTCCACCGCAGTCTCCTCCATGGCTGCATGGCTGGAAGAGCGAGAACTGATCCTGAATGAGAAGAAGAGTAAAGTTCTCACAGTCTTCCCTGGTAGAGACGCTGGACCCCGGGTCACAGTTCTCTGCCGCAGCCAAGCTCTGCCAACAGTTACCAGCGCGAAGTACCTTGGCGTCATCATTGACGAGGGGCTGAACTTTCAGCAACACCTGAAAGCCATTACAGCAAAGGTGTCCCGCAAAGTAGGTGCCCTCTGGCGGACTCGGAGATGCTTGAGCCTGGCGGCCCGAGTCACCTACTTGAAGTCCGTGGTGATGCCGGATCTGACCTACGCATCACGTTGTTTCGTGTTCTGTCTAACTGCCCAGCAAGCAACGGACCTCCAGACGCTGGAGAACAAAGCGGTTTGCGCAGTTTTTGGCGCTCGGCCATACGACTCTGCTCAACCTCTTCTCCAACGGGTGGAACTCTACCGAATCTCAGCTGCACAAGCAAAAGGCGCTATTGCTTACCTGGCGATGCATCCACGGCATTGCGGGGAACCGGCTCAGGGGACTGATTTCAAGGTCACCAGATCGGCGTACCCGCTTGCAGAAGGACATCGGAGCGCACGTACCACCCGCCGCAAGCCGCGCTGGTCAGGCTAGGTTCTCTGTTGCCGCTCCCAAGCTGTGGAACGCACTACCCAGCGACATCCGCACCATCCCCCAACGCAGTGTGTTCAAGATGTCAGTCATCCCACATACGCTCGCTCCATGAAACTTATCACCCATTATTCCAGTCACTGTTGCTGTCGCATCCACTCGTATGTCGCATCCACTCGTAGTCCACGTCCACTGATGTCGACCACGGTAGCTCTCTTGCTACTGTGTAATAGTGACATGTACCCAGCCAATGTCTCTGCTTCGTTCAGGGAATTCAGAATAGGAAGTCTGCTGTACCACCCGCTCTTTTCTTTACTTTTAAAAGCGATTATTTGTAACATGGAAATTTGTTCCTTGGCTCCCCATCTGAGTTCTTAAAGCTATTATTCATTTTCTGCTGCCCCCGGTTATTTCTTTTACTAGTATTATTATTTTCTTTGCCTTCTCTTTCTTGTAATTGGGCAACTTGCCCGTTAGAATCTGCGAAGTAAAATAAACAACAACAACAACAACAACTGCAAACAGGATGTCGTGTTACAGTGTGTGCCGCTTATCGGCAAGGTTCATGTTCAGATCATGACATCTCAATCCTGGAACATATTGACAGCACAATCGATCGAGTGTGACAGCAAGGCGCCAAGCGCGTAATTGCCGGGACATCAATGTGCACAACAGCAGTTGGCTTCAGAGCAGCAGGACGTTTCTAGCGGGCAAAGCCGCTGTTATGTCCCCTTGCGGACTAACATTCCATTACACTCATGCATTCTTACTGACACACACAAACACTAGCATTTGTAAGACATTACTCTAGGTCAGGTAAAGTAACAACAACAACCATATGCGAGCATGCGCAGTCAGTAGCAAACGGTGTAGTAGATATATAATGACTAACTTGCATACACAACAACTGCCCCCTTTCAAGAATGTTCCAGGGAATATTCTACCACAATTAAATACCTCAAAAATCGTTGAAGAAACACATAAAATAAGTTCATCAATCCACCGTACGTGAATTCTTAAACTTTGACACAACACTACAATAACATAATCTGACGCAGGAATCCGTCAGTCAATATTAGCAATACCAAGGATCTTGCACACTATTGTACATGGTAATAATTACTAGTTCGCTAAACAGTCCAGCAATGACATCAGGGAAAGGCTCAAAGCTGTTCAATCAGTCTATCCGGACGAACACTACGCCGAGACGAACGTCTAACAGTGGTTTCACAGGGAGTATTCTCGACCTGTGGTAAACCAACTTCAGGAGCCGACTGCTCACAAGGAGGATCCGCCTCAACTTGTACAGTAGCAGACTGTGGCGAGACGCTAGCCGGAAAATCACTGGCCCGTGACGACTCTCCTACGTCTGACAGCACTGGTGACGGTGACGTCTGATCGATTGTATCCAACAGTGGTTCTGGCAGCGATGCACTCAAGCTTGCCGGAACTGACCGTAGACGCAACTGATCTCGGTGACGCTTCCACAACACATCACCCACTTGTACTTCATAGTTGTAGTCACTGAGGACACGCACAATTCGTCCCGGGACCCAACGATTACCTTTGCCGAAATTGAGCGCAAACACAGAGTCACTCTCTGTGAACGCTGGCTTGACGCGATTGCCGTCCTCATAAGCCTTTGCTTGTTGACGTACCTGCGAGGGACGCAGAGCACTGAGCCGCGTGCGTGGCTGGCGTCCAAACATCATCTCCGCAGGTGTTCTGCCGGCATGGTTGGGTGTCGTGCGGTACGTTAGCAGAAACCTGTCAAGCCGAGCTTGCAGTGGTTCGCTCGTTGCACCCATTTCCTTCAACTTCTGCTTAAACACACCCACATAGCGCTCAGCAAGTCCATTCGTAGCCGGATGGCCTGGAGCCGTCAGGGTGTGCACAATGTCGTTGGCACGGAGGAAAGCCTTGAATTCCTCGCTCGTGAATTGGGTTCCATTATCTGAAACAAGATGCTCCGGCAGACCAAACACAGAGAACACGTGCCGCAGAGCCGCAATAGTGGTTGCAGACGTGGCATTAGACATTGCAATTACATCCAGATACTTTGTGTATGCATCCACCACAACCAGGAACATCTTGCCCATGAATGGTCCTGCAAAGTCGATATGCACCCGTTTCCATGGACCGTTTGGCCATGACCAGGTTCCCGACTTGGCAGGTGGACATTTCGCACTTTCTTGGCATTGAGCACATGCCTTGACTAACATTTCAATCTCTTGATCCACATTTGGCCACCATAAGTACCGTCGTGCCATTTGCTTGGTTTTGACCATGCCAAAGTGCTCCGTGTGCAAATCACGTACCAATACCATTCTTAGTGATTTGGGTATGACAACTCGTTGTCCCCACAATAGGATACCATCTTCCGCAGACAGCTCATCCCTCTTATTGTGGTAAGACCGAAACGATTGGGGTACTGAGCTAGGCCAACCATTCACCACATAGTAGAGCACCTTAGATAGCTCAGGGTCACGAGCTGTTTCCGATTTCACTACGTCTGCTTGATTATCGTATCTTCCTCCACTAGCAAGACACGAACCGTAACCATTTCCTCTGCAGACGGACTGATATTCTCACATGGTTGCCTAGACAGGAAATCCGCGTAGACATTTTCCTTGCCTGGCAAATACTTGATCTCATAATCATAGCCAGCTAGCATTAGTGCCCATTTCTTGATGCGAACTGATGCAAGTGTAGGAACTGGTTCGTTGTTTCCCAGTAACTTCAATAGTGGTTGATGGTCGGTTTGAAGCGTGAAGTGGCGCCCTAGCAAGTATTTCTGGAACTTCGTAACACCGAAAACCACAGCTACGGCTTCCCGTTCGATTTGTGCATAACGCGATTCAGCCGGTGTCAATTTCCTTGACACGTAAGCAACCGGCAAAACATCACCATTCGTTTGCCTTTGCAATAGTACGGCACCTAGACCCATTGGAGAAGCGTCCACCTGGAGTGTGACTGGCTTCTTGACATCGTAGTGTGCTAATAGCGTATGCTCACACATTGCATCTTTCAAGGCCTGGAATGCATCTTCCTCTGCCTTGCTCCATTGCCATTTCATTTCTTTCCTGAGCAGGTTGTACAGTGGTGCAGCAATCTCTGCGAACCGAGGTACAAATTTCCGTTGAAAATTGGCCGCATCCAGAAAAGAGTACAATTCATTCACGTTGTTAGGCGGCTTTGCGACTTTCAAGGCATTCACTCGATCAGGCGAGGGTGCGATTCCCTGCGCGGTTACCTGATGACCGAGGTACGTTAGTTTATCCGCCATGTAGCTGAACTTCTTAGGATTGAGCTTGAATCCTTTCTCATTTAGGCAAGATAGCACTTGATCCACATTTTTCTCATGGATCTCCTCATCACGACCAGTACACAACACATCGTCGATGTAGCCCCCGCATCCTGGCAAATCGCTAAGGGTTTCTTCCATTACCCGTTGGAAAATAGATACGGCGCTGTGAAAACCAAAAGGGAGTCGTTTGTACTGATACAACCCCTGCATGGTATTGATCGTGGTGTACTTCCGACATTCAGGTGCTATCTCTAGCTGGTGGTAGGCTTGCGACAAATCCAGCTTCGTGAATTTAGACCCCGGGCCCAATTTGTGCAATAGCTCCTCAAGAGTGGGTAGCGGGTATTGCTCGCATTTAGAATGCAGATTGATAGTGCCACTGTAGTCACCACAGATTCTCAACCCACCTCCTGATTTCTCTACCGTGACAGTGGGGGAGGCCCATTCTGAATGCGTGACTTTCTCGATTATACCATCTGCTTCCAATTTATTCAGAGCCTCAACATAGCTCTCCCGAATTGACAGTGGTACCGCCCTTGCCTTTCGGTAAACAGGGCTCTCATCAGACACATGCAATTTCACCTGCACGCCTTTCACCTTTCCCACTTCTGAGGTGTCGAACAACCCTGGGTATTTCTCAATGAATTTAGCGCCAGACTTTTCGACCTGGTGCACTTCGAAAATTGATTTCCAGGGGAGTTTGAACAAAGCCATTGCATCTCTGCCCAGAATAGATGGACGGTTTCCATTTGTAACCCTCACCAATAGTGTGTGCAATTGTGTGCCCATTCGGAACTCCATTTCCGCTTCCCCGAGACAATTAATCACATCTCCAGAGTAGGACACAAGGTTGATACTGGATTCCATCAGGTTACTCAGCACACCATTGCATTGCAAGAAATCTGCGCTGCTGAGAATCGTGACAGCACTTCCTGTATCAATCTCCATTTGGATAGTGGTACCCATTACATCTAATGATACAGTGTACGGTAGTCGCCCCATTGCATTTACACTATACATGGTGACATCGGGTTTACTAGCACATGGAACGAACTCACCAATTTCTTCCGCGATGTGATGGACGGTTTGTCCAGACTTCTTCTTGCGGCAAGCTCTCTCGATGTGACCCACCGTACCACACGCGTGACACTTCACACTCTTGAAGCGGCACTGTTCCGGTTTGTGACCAGCCTTGTCACACCGAAAACATTTCTTGTCGTGCGACTTGAAATTTGGAGTTGGCTTGCTCGTCGACTGGCGCGAACGAACGGCGTGGACGGACTGCGCCGTCAATTGTTCCGACTCTCTCGATGCAGTTTCAAAGGCTGATGCCATCGTCACAATGTCCGCCAAACTTGAGGTCTCCTTTGCTTTCAACAATATCTCCTTCGTAACACTCATCGACTTCAACCCACTGACAAACTGGTCTCGGAGTGCCCTGTCCAAATACGCCTGAAACTTACAGTCCATGGCTGCTTGCTTTAGTCTAGCTGCATACTGTGTTGCTGACTCTCCATCCTTTTGACAAATCCTCTGGAATCTATGAGTCGCCGCCAACACACTGACATTAGGCTTGAAGTGCGCTGAAAGCAATTCTCCGAGTTCCTCAAACGTTTTCTGCGCTGGTTTGTCCGGCAGGCAAAGACTCTTCAGAATCGAGTAGTTCTCAGCAGAGAGTTGACTGATCAGGACAGCTGCCTTTTTCGTGTCCGCCGCTCTCTCCTGGTCCGCGGTTGCCCCAGCTGCGACTTGTCCAATACTGTTGGCGATAAAATAAAACGTGAGTCTCTCTACATACTCACGAAAATCACCTTTTTCAAATATTTCAAGCTTCGATCGCGACATCTTCGTCTTTTATCTTCGTCGCCAAATTGTTATGTCCCCTTGCGGACTAACATTCCATTACACTCATGCATTCTTACTGACACACACAAACACTAGCATTTGTAAGACATTACTCTAGGTCAGGTAAAGTAACAACAACAACCATATGCGAGCATGCGCAGTCAGTAGCAAACGGTGTAGTAGATATATAATGACTAACTTGCATACACAACAGCCGCTGAGGACATATGTGCCCTGCATGGCCTCACCCAGCATGTGGCAGAACCAACCCGCGGAAACAACACTCTTGACCTGATAATGTCCGACTTCCAGGAGCCAGTGGAGGTAGATGTGCTGCCTCCTGTTGCCAGTTGGTAAATCAGATCACGCTGTAGTTGTTGCCACATTCCGCGCTCGAGTGCAGCAAGAGAAGCGCACCCACAGAACTACTTGGCGCTACAACCAAGCAGAATGGAACTGTCTCCGCTCCCACCTTAGGAATACCAACTGGTCTGACATCATAACGGATTACCCGGACACTTCTTGCCAGTAGGTGACTGCCACGATATCCAACGCCGTCGCCCAGTTCGTTCCGTCAAAGGCAATGACCACCAAGCCATCGGATCCAAAGTGGTGGACCCCGGACTGCACGCGGGCAATGGCCATCAAAGACAGGCATTGGCGGTCCTGGAGGCGCTCCCCCCAGGACGTCATACTGAAACAACAATTTGTGACGTCTGTCAATGAGGTTGTTGCAACCCTCTTCCGAGCCCGTCAGGCTAAGGAGGACAGCCTACGCCGCAGTTTATCAAACGGGTCCATGCACAGCAAGCAGTGGTAGACAAAGCTCAAGTATGCAAGTGGCATGGGGCGCCATACAGATATATACTGATTGCTGACGCTGATGGCCACGAGTACGCAACAAGTGCAGAGAAATCGGAGGCATTTGGACGCTTCTTTGCAAAGAAGTGTAGCATCCACGGCGACGATATCTCCGCTGCTGATCTCCCTCCCCACGACTTGCCCACATCCCAACCGATCAGTACCATTCACTTCCGACCTGAAGCAGTGCGTCGAGTTCTGGCTAGACTGGATACGTCAAAGGCATCGGGACCGGATGAAATATCTGCCCGGGTGCTCAAGGAGTGTGCCTAAGAACTAGCTTCACCACTGTGCCAGCTGTTTTCCCTCTGCTTCCGGCGAGGCATTTAACCCAAGATGTGGAAAACGGCAAACGTGGTTCCTATCCACAAAAAGGCTTCGCGTTCTGTGCTCAAGAACTACTGCCCTGTTTCGTTGCTAAGCATCATCTCGAAGGTGATGGAGACTATTGTGAACAGCCAGGTTACAAACCATCTTGAACACCATCAGCTCCTCACCTCCCACCAGTTTGGTTTCAGGAAAAGTTTGGGTACATCTGATGCTCTGCAGGCTCTGCATCATGACTGGGTTAATGCTGTCGGGCGAAATGGAGCAGCTTGTATCCTTGCTGTTGATATAGCTGGGGCATTTGATCGCGTGTCCCATGTTGGTGTCCTCCATAAGGCACGTAATGCAGGAATCACTGGGCCACTCCACACATGGCTGTCGTCGTACCTGCTGTCATCACGTTCATTACGATGCTTGGTGGGTGGCTATACGTCTACCCAGTACCCCATAACTGCTGGCGTTCCCCAAGGCAGCATACTCGGCCCGACACTATTTTTACTGTACGTAAATGATGCACCCTCTGTTCTGGTGGATGATGCCCAGCTTGAAGCATACGCAGACGACACCACACTTTACTCCATTGTGTCGAATGGCAGCGCGGCAGGTGCAGCGCACTCAATGCAACTGTCAATCGATCGGCTGCATAACTGGGGCCAGAAATGGAAGATTGCATTTGAGCCCACCAAGGCAATGACTGCAACGCTCCGAAGAGCTGACTTACACCTCCCACCAATCATATTTGTCGGAATACAAGTCCCCAAGGCAAACTTGATCACCCTCCTAGTCGTCCTCTTTGACCAGAAGCTGTCTTTTGGGGAGCACCTCCGGTCTGTTACAATCCGGGCAAGGCAGCGACTTGGTCTTTTGCGACCGTCAGCTCATCTTCTTCCTCCAGCTGGGCGCATAACCGTGTACAAGGCATTCGTTCGCCCGCGGCTGGAGTACGCCCACTTATCTGACTCGTCGGTTCGGATGACCAACCCTTTG